TTCCCTCAATAGCAGTTGCCACTTAATGACTGCGGCCCCAGTGTTGTTGAAAGCATCTCTTCAGCTTCTCTCTTCTCTCTTCTTTTGAATCGAGCAAGCTAATGGCAGCTACCTGAAAGATGGTCACTTCACCCCGCTTGGCTATCTGTTAGCTCCTGGACTGCCAGTGTTTCATCTTAATCTCCCTTGTAATGCAATATGTCTCGGAATTTTACCGCAGTCCTTCCCAGGGCATCTGGATATCCTGCCAGTGACAATGGCAGTGGGGCCCATCATCCCCTGACCTTGTACGTACGGTGCGAACGGAGTGGCGTTTGCACTATGAATGTCTGAGCGGATTCATGATCCACCCCTCACTCTGGGGACTCCTCACCTGTATCCACAGACATCAATTCATCAGATGTTTGTAGATACCAGACCTTCTTCCCTAAACTTACCAACCCTCAAATACTTCTAGTATAGGAACTTCTACACCAAATGAAATCTTGGGGTTTACGTTAACTCGGCGCACTTGAAAGAGGACTCACTTGCTTCTTTCCTTTTTCTTTTGCAATTCTGGCTTATGAAATCTCTCTTGGTATAGACCATCAATGGCGAGCTGTTTCTGTCTTTGCACGTGTGTGTGTGTATGTGTGCGTGTTTAGACTCCCTGCAATTACCCTTTCCACAGCCTCTGCCCCCAAGCAGTGCAGCTTCTTGGGTTACTGCAGGCCTCACAACAAGCCTGACTTTGTTCTGTGAACCATCCTCTCTCAATGCTATCTCATTAAAGTGTATTACCAGTGAAAGCAGCCCTGACAAACGTCTCTCCACTCGTAACCTTGTCTGAAACTGTCTGTCTAGCCTTTCTTGTTGAGTGGGTTAAATACTCCAAAATAATTCGGCGGAGACACTTGACAAACACCGGTTCATGTGGCCACCTTTATTTTTAAGAACTTAACGTTAAGCACAAACTACCAATTTTTTATTGTTCCATTTCAATAGTGAGATAAGCACAATTTCATTTCTTGTCCTGTGTCTCCAGGGTAAATTTTGATACATGAGCAAGGTCCCGGCCCTACGAGAAACAATGAGTTACTGAAAGTGTAGGGGGAGTGGAGACGGTACATGTGAGTCTCCTGTGGGAATCTTCGGAAACTAAAGCTTTTTCAATAAGTTCTTATTAAAAAGTGTTAAAATGTTCTGCGTCTACAAGGAAAACTGTCAACAAAAGGGTTGCTAATATAAAGATATTTATGCTACTTAGGATTTCAGGTGGACTAAACTCACACCGAAGGCAAGATGTAGCCTACTTCTCATCCCGCAGTCCCTAGTTTATTCTCTTGAAAACTGATTATGGAGAAACAGAGCCAAGGAGGTTGAGAACTTTCCAATTTGGGACACAGTCTTGCTCCCGGTTATTGGTAGGCGATAGCTGTTTCTGCTGAACTGCTCTTCACATTTAGTTGTTCTAGGGCAATCTTGCCTCTCTCTAGAGGAAATACATTTTCCAAAGGAGAACAGAACACAATTAAATAAAAGATACTACGTATTTTTTAAAAAAATCTTTGAAAGAGAAAGAGGCGTTTAAGAAATAGACTCCTTGTCTTAGATGCAAATTGCTATATCCACTCATTCTTCCACTTACCTTTATTTCCTGAGATTTCCAGGGAGATCATTAAAGTATAGGGTTGGGTCTAAACTTCTTACTTTCAAACATCAGTGCCACCATTTTGTTGTCCTATAACCACAGGCAGCAAAGCTAACATATATTCCTCAGCCTCCCTGTGCCTCAGCTGCCCCATCTGTACAATGGGGCTAAGAATTAATTGCAGTAGTCCATGTCAAGTGGTGAAAGCGATGGTTGGGAGCCAGAAGATGGCATGGTGATTATGTCGCCAGACTCCCACATGGCTGATCGTGGTTCAAGTCCCAGATCTGGCGACTTGAAACTCATGCTGGGCACATATGCGTGTGTACCCAAGATCCAAGGAGGAGAATAGAGGAGAAGGGATTGTGGTGTGGCCATTCTCCCTGGGGTGATTTCTTACTTTGCCTCTCACTGTCACTGTCTCTTTCTCTCTAGTAAGTACACATGCCTCAACACAAAAACCTCCACATGCACACCCAAAACGGCAATGCTTGACACGTCTAGAGGCATGTCAAGGCATCCTATTGAAAAGTTACAATCGGATATGTCTGCCTTAACCCCTACGTATATATGTGAAAATGACAGAAACCTCGGTTCCTTGAAAGGGGTAGATATGAAATGTAAAAGGGTCTAAAATTTGAGAAAGGGAATTGGAATTGTGTAATGTGAGTGCTTCATAAATGTATACATAAACTTCTTGGGCTTATGACTGATTAGACACTGATTTCATGGTTGTGCTACTACTTACATAGATCCAGTTCATTCTTCTCAAAGGATTAGAATCTGCATTCGTTACTTCTACCTACCTGAATCTTTACGAATGCAAAGATGAGTTTCTCCGTTTTGAGTCTTGAGTGACAGTTAGCAAGGCAATTTTTCATACTTAACGTCATTTAATCCTTACAACCCCCATAACATAAATGCCACTTATTTTACAGATATGGAAGTTGACATGCCAAAATTATAATTCAGCCCAATAATACCCCGTCCACTGTAAGTCCTAAGTGTTTGTGTTTTGATTGTGAAAAGCATATTTTTGCGATAGTGGGTAGACTCACTGAGATGACCTCTGCCCTGATAAATAGATGAAATTAAAAGTGCAGGTCGAGATGTCACTGTGCTCACACATTACTATACCTGGGTGAGGTTCAGGGGGAGAAGCTACTGGTCATACACCTGGAAGCAGGGGCTCAGGATCCACACCAAGAACTCACCAATGGCAAATCTCTGCTCTTTCTACGATATTATGGGCCCTTTTCTTAATGGTGTCTTACACTATCCTGGTTTTCTGGGTCACACACATGTGCTAGAGGTGACAATGGTAAAAGGTCGATATTACCCAATTAAGCAGGTATTCACAGAGGGGCTTTGACACATCCAGGAAGGATTCAGCTGAGTTGAAATGGTTTATGTGAACAATGCTTTTGTCATACTTTTTCCGCCATAAATGGAGCATGTTTGTCCCAACATACATTTCCAATGCACAGATTCAAATATGCATTACAGTGACTGTTTCCACAATCACAGGGTTAAATTATGCCCATAAATATCAAACACTTACATTTCCTATACTTTAGAAACTTTTCCTACATTTAAAACCAGCAGCTACTCACAAATCCGACAGAGGAAGGCGGGAGTACCAGATCTTTGGAGAGGTGGAAAGGACTAAGATCTTAAAGTCGAGCATGGTAAACCCTTGTACGCTCCCACTGGAAGTCAGCCGCGCTGAGATTGAGAGTCTATGGGCTTGGGGACCAGCAGTTGGCGTAATGGCTATGTCGCTGAACTCCCATGTAGTCGACCGCGGTTTGAGTCCCAGACCCGGTGGCTTAAACTCATGCCGGGCGGGCGTGTGTGTGTGTGTGTGTGTGTGTGTGTGCCTAAGATCCCGAGAGGAGAATGGAGAGGGGATTATGGTATGGCCATCCCCCTGGGAGGTGATTTCTCACTTTCTGTCTCCCTGTCCTTCTCTGTCTTTCTGGAGAGCTCAAGTGCCCTATAGCAAAAGAAAAAATCCCCACGGGCTTGATTTGAACAAACTGCTGACGCTAACCTAATCTCTCCTTTACCTATCAGGAGGAGTGATAATGCCCGGATGGTGACGAGGGTTAAATGAACTCACTTGGCTGGCCCGCGGCAATGCCTGCGCTGTGCTGTCTGCCCGTGGTTCCCCCGCTCCAATCTTAGCTTTTCCAAAGACTGGAAAGCACCATGTCCCTGCTCACCGTGACGTTCCCACAGGGAAGGCCCGGGGTCGTTCTTCCTCTCTGCCTTCTCCCTACGCTCTGCTGCCCAAGCTTGGCCTGTCTGGTCTGGCAGGTCTCGTCTCCCGGCCAGGCTTGGGCCATCAGCTAGCCACAACCACCCAGAACCTCAGATGACTGCGGTGGGGTGGGCTTGCCGCGCCACGCGAGCTGGCACCGTCCGGATGCAATACTGTCTAGTTAAACCGGGTGCCCTGACCCCGAGGGAGAAAGCTCATCTCGGACCTTCCTCGCGGTCTGGAGACGCTTCTCCAGATCCTTCCAGGCGGCTCAGATGCGGCCGGGCTGGGGGCGGGGCGCAGTGAGCTGTGCGGATAGTTATTGCTCCAACTTTGAAATGGCCACAGAGCAGAATGGTAACGAAAATCAAAATCACAAACACTAATGAGGCCCCCTAGTCGGTGCCAGCTCTATCCCTGTCACCACCCTCCACAGCCCCAGAAGAGAGTGGAGGATTATAGGTTTGGTGGAATCCTTGGGGCACATTCAAAGAGTTGGAGGTTTTGTTTGAAAGTCTGTTTGCAGACAGCAGAAATGGATTAAATTGCCTCTCCAACACAAAGAAATGCCAGTCCTCAGTAGAGGTAAGACACCAGACTTAAAGTGCTACTAGAAGCAAAATAATGAAAAAGAGTCCAAAGTGCTGGGCCATCTTCACAGCGCACAGACACACAGTACGCTGCGGAGTAACTGCGTTAATTGTGGTAACAGGAATCTACAACGTCTCCTATTTCACAATGTGTCTTTTCTTCTTGGAATGGATTAAGGGCCATGGTATATATTATGTATTTCTTTTTAAAAAAAAATCACAATAGAAAGTTATTTCCTTTATTATATTTCCCATTGTTCTTCTCTCTTACAAAATTCATATTCTTATTATGTTGAATGTCTAGAAGTGAAGTGGGTGGGTCAGAGTGTTTTCACAATGTTGGAATCTAAAAAGTGATGAAAAGTAGATATGTGAATTTTTAATCTATTACATTGCAACATTTCCAATAACTTAAGAAGTTAAATCATTTTTTATTGCTTTTATGTTAGGTATGCTGAAACAAATGATTTATCTAAGGTGAAACTGAGAAAAAAAACTAGCCATGACAGTCCTAGAAAGACTGTGGTAAAACAAAACCGAACAGGTCTTGGTGAAATATTGCTGAATAAACAAGCTTCAAAGTACCGACATTTTCAATTAGCAATAATCGCGCCTCGGATAAACCTCATTGGCTACGATACTGCCACTGCGCAAAGCTGGCCAAGTACTGACATTTTCCAACTGATTATTTTTAACAGGGATACTGTGATGAAGAACGATTATGCAGATACTGTTTTTCCCTCACATGCCCCAAAGTGTCATTAACCCCACAAGAGTAGATTAGTGGCTCTTTCAAAGTCCGCGACTAGATTTCCCAAATTTAAGAAGTCAATATGCATGATCTTTTTTGCATAGATAATTTATTACATGTTTTTTCCATGTTCGCCTTTCTCTGTGGGCTCATGTGTATACCTGCAACTGTGCCAAAGTGTTTCTTGCTTCAGCAGGTGGTGTGTGGCTGGGGTTCGGGACTCCCATATGGCCGGCCACAGTTGGAGTCCCAGCCCAGGGAGCCTGATGACCGCTCCAAGCACGTGCGCACCCAAAGGTTGTGATGGCTGTACCTAGCCCTGAGCAGACGGGGAGGCAGCGGTGCCACCAAACAGCCAAACCTTGGACAAAGTCCTGAAGGAAAGTAGAGGAGACGGGTTACAGCGTGGCCTTTACCCCAGGGCTTTTTCACTCACCTTCTCTCTCTCTCTCTCTGGTCAGTGCATGTGCCCTATGGCAAAAATAAATAAATAATAAAATAAATTTTAAAAGGCGTTTCTTCCCATGCCAAGATCCTCCTGTCCCAGCCTCCCAGCTGGGACATCATGCCCCACTTTGCTCTAGGCAGGCTCTGGCTAAGTTGCCTAGGCCAATCTCGAGCTTGTGATCACCCCGCCTCAGCATCTCGGAGTCACTGGGTTCGGGGCATGCCCCTGGGCTTGGCCTGTAGGTGGGAACAAGAATGGAGCAGGGCTCTGTCATGTACCAGCCCATCCCACGGGGCCCACGTCACCACGGACGCGCCCTTACACGTTCAGGCGGTCTTCGCTCCGTGGACGTAGCTCTGAGCACACGGGGACAAGACCCTGGCGCAGTTTCTGCCCTCGGAGGGAGCACAATTCCTAGCTGTGAGCAGCCGTGCTGTGGGGGCGCCACATGCCAGCGGCCACACAGAGATGGGGTTTGCAGGACACGGCAGACCTTGGCAGGGGAGTGCTCACGAACTCCGAGCTCTGAGGAAGTGCCAGGACTCACTTGGAGGATGTTTTCTTACCGTGAACGTATACCGTATTTAGTCTTCGTTACGTTGATAGACTATTCTCCAGAGCCGTTGTGGGTCGTAGGAAATTGAGCAGTAGGCAGAGTCCCACAGAGCTCCTCCTCCCCTCAGCTCCACAGATTCCTGGCATCGACAGCTCTTGCATTAGTGTGGTACGTCGGTTAAAACTGATGAACCGACTCTCATACATATCATTAACCAAAGCCTATAGTCTACATTAGAGTTCGTGTGTGTTTTCCACGTCTACGAGTTTGGGCAAATACAGAACATCAGGTGTCCGTGAATCATGCAAAATAGCTTCAGTGCCCTAAAAGTTTCCATGCCCCATTATTCATGCCCCCTTTTCTCTGACTTCTGGCAACCGCTAAAAGGGTCAAAAGCAAAAACTGTTGGGCCAGCAGGTGGCTGGATCCCACATGGCTGACAGTGTGGTTCAAGTCCCAGACCGGGAGCTTGGAAATCACAAATTACAATAGAAAAATCCTACCATCCACAATCTCAGAAATAAGCACTATGAACTATTTAGTGCATTTCTTTCCAGCCCCCACCCCCACATAAAGACAGAGAGACAGATCAACAATCATGCTACCTATACTATTTAGAAATCCTTTCTGTTGTTCAATAATTTATGAAGAATATTATATTATTAATAGCAGTTTGTAAAATTACCTGTAATGGCTAAAGATGACCCACTTCCACATGTACCATTTAACTAAGTTCCCATGTAGGGCTACTTTGTAAATTTGTCACTGTTGTATACAGCACTATACTGAACATCCGTCTTCCCAAATGTCTATTTCTATATCGTTAGGTAAAGTATTCTAGCACTGTAGCTGTATCATGCAGTGTATAACATTTTCAGGCTTTTGATAGAGATGACCAGGCTATAAAAATCTCCACGTCCCCAGAGGAAAAGAGACTGCCTTTCTCTGCACGTCATCAAAGCAGGGTAACATCCTTTTGAACAAGTTTAAATTAGAAGGATACCAGGCGGGGCCAGCAGATGGTGTAATGGTTACATTGCTGGACTGCTGTGTAGTCCACCATAGTTCAAGTCCCGGATCTGGCAATGTAGAATTCACACTGGGCACAAAAATCCCAAAATCCCGAGGGGAGATTGGAGGAGCAGGGCCAATTTCCGGGAGGATGATTTCTCACTTTCTATCTCTCTGTCTCGCTAGCAAACACATGTGCTCCATAGCAAAAACCTCTCTCTAAAAAGAAAAATGAAATGAAACAAAAACAAAGAAGGGCGCTGGGACACACTTACTGTGTGTGCAGGAGGCTAGAGAGAGGAGAAGGCAGCAGGTGAACGTAGCAAGAACAAGGATCTGAAGATGAAGAGGAAAAGAAAAAAGCAAAACGTCTCAGGGACACCAAAACGGAAAGTGATCTGTGCGTGATCGTTCTCTCGCGCTGAGAAGATCCATTGTGCAAGCTGCAATGATACACAGTGGCCGAGTGTGCGCAATGTTAACAGTAATAAACACCAAGACGTGAAGGTCAGTGGCATGGTGAGGCTCAGGGAAGTAGACACTGTGCTGCAGTGGGGTCAGCCCGAGGGGGACACGAGCCGAGACCCTGGAGGACCTACCACGCCAAGTGTGTGGGGCAGAGGAGCCACCTGAATAAAGCTCTGCTCTTCCTTGCTTTGGTGGCCGCGCGAGGATGAGCCGGTAGGTGACAGAGAATGCTGAGAACCTGCTTAGGGATGTGGAATTGTTGAAGACAGAGACGATTATGGTGGTTCTAAGGAGGTGAGAGTGGGACTGAGGAAAGGAGGATGAGGTGGGGAGTGGGTTCCAAGTACGTTCCAGAATTTCTTGGACCCTTTGCCCTTTGTTTCCCAGTGACGTCCTCTCCCCAAGATTCTTCTGCATCCCTAGAAATTCCCCACCCAGAGACTGTTCCTTTAATGTGGACACGTCAGAGACCCTAAACAACAAAAAAAATGTATTTTTCCATTGTGGAATTTCAGGCAGTATGACACATTAGGAAAAGTACCTTTAGGCAAAGGCTTGTAGTGCCGTTGAAAATATGTGGTAAGTTATTTATTTATTTATTGAGAGAGATTTTGCTATAGGGCATATGTGCTCATCAGAGAGACAGAGAGAGAGAGAGACAGAAAGTGAGAAATCACCCCCAGGGGGGATGACTGTCACGCCGCAATCCCTTCTCCTCCATTGTCCTCTCAGGATTTTGGGCACACATGCACACGCGCCCTGTGCGAGTTTCAAGCCACCAGGTCTGGGACTCAAACCGCAGTCGACTACATGGGAGTCCAGTGACATAACCATTATGCCATCTGCTGGTCCCCAAATATGTGGTAATTTTTAAAGTCAGCTGAGAATTCTGTGTCCATAATCATAACAAAAACCTGTTCTAGCTTTGAATTTATTTCTGTGAAAAGTCATGTAAAGGTGTAAAGTCAAAATTATATTTTGTGTTGTGGTCAATAAACGGAATCTCTTCAAAAGACTATGACCACATGACACTGAGACTACAGTCAAATTCTGGGATGTCGGGTCGCTGTGATTTTGACACCAGTCACTCTTACATAAACGGTTCACAGAGCCTGTGAATAGATCAGAGAAGCCGTCGGGGAAAGGGCAGAGGAGACGACAGGTTTGGAAGGAGCCTGTGTGTCTCACACTCTCAGGCGTCTGGGCACAGCTGCAACGGCGGGCCAGGGGAGACTGAGCTGCCTGTGCTGTCTGGGAGTTCCTCTGCACATCCATAAGGGTTAAAATCTTGAGAATTCTGAACTTCTCATAAAGCCAAATTTTCAGTTGTGTTAGATGGCTTCATGAAAAAAAAAAAGAAAAGAAAAGAAAAGAAAAGAAAAGCACCATCAATACTTTCTATGTACGACTTTCTCTTGAGTTTACATATATATTTAGCTTTTGGTCCATTACAATTTCCTGGCCTTTTGACGAGATTGTTTATGTATTCTGTCACTAATATGTGTGTTCATCTCCACGTGACTGCCCCTCTGTCTCTTCCTGTCTTCTGTTATATAAGATCTCACTGCTATCTCCACCAGGATCACACTTCAACAGTGAAAAAAAAAAAGATATTTCAGGTATTTGAGATGAAGGAGGTTGCGTGAGTTTAACCTTCCTCGGTACCCTTGTGAGCTTTCTGTATTTAATACTTGTTTTATCTGAAGCCTGTGGAGGTTCTAAACTATTAGAAGACACACTTTCTGAGAACTACCTTTCTAGTAGCCTGAAGATATATCATTGATGTTGGGCAACAAAGTTATTCTCTGTAATCCTCTTGATGTTGTAAATGAAAAAGAAGACGGAGCTAGCACCATCTGAACTTTGGGCAAACCATTTGCTCAAAAGGATCATCAAAGAACCAAGCCCTGCCAAAATAATATTTAAAAAAAAAAATTCAGCAGACAGGGAAAACATTGAGGAGCACACACAAAAATGAAATTGGTGCAAATTAACAGCGCTGTGATTGGGGAGCAATACAAAACAAACCCCCACCACAGCCTGGAAAGGAGAGCCAGGCGAGGCAGACATTGAAGTTGGAGCCTCACAGTAGCCATCTTTTAACAGCTTCCTTTCTTCAATGCTTTAACGTAAAGAGAAAAAGGAAAGGAAAGGAAAGAAAGAAAAAGGGAAAAAAAGGAAAGAAAAAAGAAAAGAAAGAGACCTACTCATTGTTATGCCTCCTATTCATCTTTCATTCAAAGTCATTCGCTATGCATTAATTACCACTCTCTTCAATGCAAGGGGCGCTCCCAAACACGTCTTGTTTTCGAAAAGGCACACTTCCATCCATGGCTCCGCTATTTATATGCAGAGCTTGCTGAAATTTTCACTCCAGTACTTGGAGATCTCCTAATTTTTGCATACTGTAATTCTTCATAAGGA